TCCCACTTTTTAACATGTTTGATAGCTTTAATTTTTCAGATAAAACTTTTTCCTTATTTTCCTTCACGCGCCTGATTTTCCACCAAATGAAGAGAAATGATTTCCTCTCCTTCAGCTGGGATTACATTTTCCACCCAAGGTGAAAATCACAAAACCTTTGTGCCTGATTGTTGGTGGAGGAAAATGGTAATCTAGGGGGGCGATGGCGGAGAATACCCACCCGTGGGTGGTAAAGGGAGGGAGGGTGGAGACAGAATTTTCGGCGTTGATATCTGGTTTTGAGCGGTTTCTTGAGGATCCTCCATGGACTTGGAGGCAGGAAGAGGACAAATTGGGTTTCTTAGGGGCGGGTGCAGCAGAGGGCTTTTTGGCCATTGGAGGTTGGGGTTCTTCCTGTTTAGAGTCGAATTCGGAGGAATCGATTTCTTCAGATGAAGCGTGTCTTCTTCAGTGCCGGATTCCAGTGGGAGAGTTAGTCAGAGGTGGGGGAGACTGGGGAGTTAGTCGGAGGTGGGATTGATACGGGAGGAATTGGTGGAGAAATTGGAGCAGGTGTATTGGAAAGCGACAGTGGTGGTAATGAAGCTTGTGGCGGAGAGTTGGGCTTGTAGGTGGTGGAGAAGTTGTTGGAAGAGGAGGAGGCTGGGAGGCACATGCGGCGTTGATGCTGGAGGATGAACGGATGTTGCCAGAACATTTTTGTTAAGTTCGATAGTTTCGCACAAATAATCATAATTTTCCATGGAAAACAAAGACGATGAAACACCAAAAGATGGAAAATCTTAACATTTTCTAAGTGGAAAAATTATGCCAATCAAACGCAACTAATTAACAATTCCCTACAAAACATTTTCTAGACAATTATTTTTCCTGGAATTCATTTTCTTTTCACCCATTTTTCACCCTTACAATCAAACGGACCCTTATAGTTAAAGAGTATATAAAAGTTATGAATCAAATAGAACCTATGGATAAACATAAAAATTTAATCAATTTATCTACAATTTTTTTTTTATATATAATCGTGGATGTTTGGGTCTGCTTGCGCGTACCTCGACTAATCTCACGAGACTCTAAAGTTTACGGTTGGGTACTCACTTCAGTGGCACCGAAAGGATTCAAAAAAGTGACCATTGGAGAGTAAACACAATGCATGACCAATTGAGCAATCCCTTGGGGTTCAATTTATATAAAATTATAAACTTTGATAAACATGCACTAAATAAACATATTGTAAGTTATCCGACTATTTCGTCCACCAATATATGAACTTTAACCCCTCTAGCAAAATTTAATCAAACTTTATTTTCAATATCACTGTCCAATGGATCTACGGGTAATATCAATTTATTTATCAATAGTTTCAATCTATTTATAAATTCTTCCTGAACAAATGATTCATCTTCGAAACGTCCTTCCCCCAAAACCACCACCTTCACATCTAACATATAAATTTCTCTTCCGTCGTTCCCCCCACGGTGACTATTAAAGGTGTCAATTCAGGTGGTCCGGGTCAGGTCTGCCCGCCAATATATGAGCCCGATAATGGACCGTACGAAAAAAGCCCACCTGCTACGGTTTCCGGGCTGGTTCCGAGTCGGCCCACAAATTTTGGACTACAACCAAGGCCCGCTCGCTGACCCATCCGGATCGAGCCCATGCGGGTCACGGGTCGCGCGGGTTGCGGTTTGTTCCGATTTGGCCCCTATTATTGTATAAATAAAATTATAAAAATATAGAATTTTTCATACTTATAGCAAAAAATATTTTTTTTGTTAAATGTAAATTAAGAATTGAACAAAATGATAAATTCATATTTATACCAAGAAATGTTTACATATAATTCAAATTTAATATCACACGAATTATTTAGAACTTTGCAAAGTTAAATAAATGATAAATTCATATTTATACAAAGAAATGTTTACCTATAATCAAATTTAATGTTACATGAATTATTTATAACTCTACAAAGTTAAATTTAATTTAAACAAATAACAATTAAATGCATTTCTAATTACTATTATCAAATATTTATAGTATAAGTACATCTCAACTAGATTGTCACTTATTTTTATTATAATTTATAGTTCAAAAATGTTACTTGCAAATAAGTTGTTTATTAACGATGTTTAAAATTATAATATTTATTACATTAGCAAATTGTTTTATTCTTTTATGTTTCACTGTGGTTTTCAGGAAAAAAAAAATTAATTAAATCATGTTACATCACCATCTACATAAT